GCTACATACTTCCTCCTACAAACCTAAATTACCCTAACTCTGGAATAGAGATCACTTTACTTTCTGCAAAATTGCAATACTCTAAGCTAAGCACGCTGACTAGCCACTCACATCAGCTGCGAACAGCCGCAATTCCCCCTGATCTAATATATACAATCATCAGTGAGACCATCCCAAGTGAGAACATTTCTGTAGCAGAAAACACAAACCAGATTAAGTGGGATTTAGTGGCCTAAGAGACCCCTTCAAGATTCTGTCTAGCTGAAGGAAGAGAAGCACCCTACTTCGGAATTGTTCTTTGGAGATTAAGCTCTGGCCTTTTTCCTTTCTTACTATCTGTCCAGTTCAGTTCACTTTCATTTCTGGTGCCTGATTAGACCCCAGGTCCAACATTTTGTAGATTCTTGCTTACAAAGCTGTGAACTGAGCATATACTGATTAGTTTACTTGAGGATTAGCAGCTGTGGGCAGAGAAGAACTATTAGTTTAACTGAGTGGAGAACCTACAGCCACAAGAAAAACAAATCAGAGAGAGAAACTGGATGATGTGGGATCATGTCACTGAGTTAGTCCTGGAGGTTACTCTCTGCTCCCCACCCCTTCATGGCTACATAAGCCGGCAAACTTCTCTTCCCAGAGTTCCCATGCCGTTTGACAGATTAAGCTTTTATAAGTATTAATTGGGTATACTGCTAAGAAGGTAGTAATAGAATAAGCGGATGGAAGAATAAAAACGAATGGTAAGATTTTTCTACTTTATTTCTTATCCCCTACAGCAGTGGCATTAGAGCAGCTCTGTACACCATATGTATAGTCATTTACCGTAACTAATGGGAATAATGTCCTACATTTCATGATCTCTTTGGCAATTTGAGAAAAACTCATAACGAGATGGCTACGCTTGCACTCTTAAAATACGTATCACAACAAACGCTCGGGCAAATTTTAAAATATTTAAATGTTTAAAATATATCCTAGACAGCCTTTCTAGAAAAGCAACAAAACTTGCAGAATGTTAAGGAAAGAACCCATGGCCTCTTTATCCCTGTATTCGGTAAGCGCTTAATCCTTTCAGATGTTTTCTCCTGCCGAATGTTTTACATGCAGTATAAGATGGTGTTTAAAATTTTCAAAATTCCTTCTACAAGTGTATCCCTGTTTCCCCTAAGAATGGATTCAAACTGATGTTAGAAACTGGCACATATGTTAGACATTCTATCCCTTTTCCAGAAAAGGGCCAAATCGGAGTGTAAGGTGACATTCCTTTAGGGCCAATTGTTATTTCCTTCCCAGATTCTGGATGTAATTGTCAGCAACCCCTTCAATGTAGGTGGGCATCACACACACCCAGCTTGCGCTCCCTGAAGATAAATGGACACCCTTCCCACATGGGGTGTCTGGGAAATTATCTGCAACCAGAGCCATCACTTGCGACACTCTCTGTGCTAAATCAGGGGAGCACTTTGCTTCGAAAACACAGTCCGCCCGTGTCCTAATGCCACATAGAAGACTATAAACTTTAGAAACCAAAGATGGATTTATAGCATCATAAGCCACAAACAGAAGCAACACTAGCTATCAACTGCTAAACCGAAATTCTAATTTTATATCTGATCTTTATTCATTGTTTATCAAAATGATTTGGAAATGGAGGAAGAATAATAAGTAACCTATACGCAGATTAAATATGCAACTGCCCTGGAGTTTAAAAAATACCCTAAATCTCCCATATTTGTAAAGCCTGGTAACTTTTAAAAAAATCAAGAACTAGGATTTGTTTCAAAACACATTAAGATATAAAATATTTTCTACATTTATTATGATTAATAAACTTTATTTTGAAGACTTAGAAATAAAATATTATGCTTGAGGAGAAAAGTTTTTACAAAACATTCACTCAGGCACACCAATCAATGTTGCCTACTATCTTCTGCTAAGGAGAAGATAGAGATTTTAAGTTCTCATATTAATCTGACTGCCAAAACTACAGTCATTTCGCCTCTTAAAGTGGTATGGAAAATTCTGTTGTTCAGATGACTTCTATAATGCTTAACATTTTATCCGATACTATCTCCACTTTGGTCAACTTAAAGAATGAACGTTTAGTACAATAATATTACAAAATATTAGTTATATGTGTCCAAATAAGGCTGAGAATCTTTACAAGTAATGACATCAGAAGTCAGGTGTTAACAATAGTATAGAAATCTTTGACTATCCTCACTTTCACTAAGAGTCAATAATAAAACTACATACACTCGAATAGAATAAAAAGCCCACCACACAAATTAAGTCTCAATGTGCCCTTCCCACACTCAAAAATGATTTCCATAAAACAAACTTAATTGCATTATTCCTTATCATGCCTCATGTTTTAACATTACTATATATAAAATAGCACCAATCTCTAAAGATTGAATACAATATGCATGGGTAGAAATTGTTATTTATTATAATCATTATTATTTTTACCAGTCATCCACTTTACCCCAGATGAAAGTCGTTTTTAGTAAAAATCAGTATAGACAGATGTCAATAAGTGAAAAATTCTTGTTATCCTTAAACACTGCAACATGAAGATTGATCTTTATCATGTGAATGAGATCAAAACGTCTCTTAAGAGTTTCAAAAAAAACAGAAAAAAACTCACCAAAATAACAAAAAGGCACAGGTTCCTCCCCCAAATTTATTAATATGTGTTCCTTTCAAGAAGAAGTTCATCTAAAGCTCTAAGCTCACAAAATTTCCAGACGGCGGAGCATACAACTCATTCTGCGCTGTGGACAGTTTCCCCGCTACATTTTCTCAAAGATGGCTGGTGCAAACAGCACCTCATAACTACGCAAAAATGGTTGCTCAGATTAAATTATGCAAACGTAGTTTCAAAATAACCTGCTCAAGTTTCAGCGTATTAATGATGGACCTGGAAAGCATTTGCCCTGCTACGCCTGGTTCCAGCGGAATTTCAGTGAATAGAGAGGGGGGCATACACTCTGAACCATCCTTATAAAGAAGGACTTTGAAATAGAAGCGCACAAACATCAGGTCCCATGGGTACATTCACGGTGCTTGGACCCGGCCTCTGAACACCAATCTGTCACCAATGCAAAGCACAGCAGAGCCATCAGCCTGCTCAAGGTCTCCATCCTGGACTGCGCCAGCAGAAGGGGCCATCTTTGAAATGTTCCGTCTGTATCTCTTAAAGTCAGTATTCTGAGCTGGAATGTCCAAAATGCGGGTGAATCCACCAGGTAAATTATTTCTTGCATGAGATAACTGAAATACACTTGAAATGATCGCGTCTCTACAAAGTCACATTATTTTTTTTTAAACGCCATCATCTTATAATCGAAACCTATGTACGATTTTTTTTCTCTGAACATAAAATTCCTAACTATTTTCCTTAAGTAGAGGTCGGTGATGGGAACATACAGGCTGATTTCTGTACTAAATTCGGTACACTTAACTGACAGTCTAATCTCAACCCACAAGACACTGGTCTGATAAGAAGCCCATTAAATGATTCCCAAGCAGCGGGCTTTTAGTTGTTTTAGTAAATAAAGGTTGGATTTTAGATTTATTTTTCTCTTGGTTTATATTCAGAAAGTAAAATAAAATTTTGGCAATGATGTACTTAAACTGCCAATCCCTTTAGTAAGTTTTAGCCGAAATAATAGGAAGAGCACAACAAAATATTTTCATTTTCAAGTAGTTGGAAATTTGTTAGTAGTTGGAAGCTACAAAATAAGGTCAAAAGTCATAAATGGAGTTTCAATATTCTACCAGACAAACTTTAAAAAAAAAAAGTGGGGGGAACCATTTTGTTCTGAAATATGATACGACATTCCTTGATATCAAAAACTTGAATTTTTTACTATTCTCTTACGTGTCAGTCTTACCGAACAGTATTTAAGTATCAATTACTTCCACTTCCACCCCATCACTGGTTATTTCTCCGCCGCATTTTGGTAAGTTTACGTAAAGCACAGCAGCGCTGCGAAATGCGTGTGCTCCGCTCCCAAGAACCGACTGCAGCTCGACTTCTCCGTCTGGTCAGTTTGGCCCAAGTCCTGTCATGCCCACTTTTCAAGGAGATTTCGAGGATTTCACTCCTGGCCCTGGACAACCCTTAGAATAACGGGACTCGTGACCAACCAACCTCGTAGGCCTCAGAGGGTCCAATAAAACCGTCCAGAAGGCCAAGGAAACGGCCCCGCTTTTTTTTTTTTTTTGCTGCGGGGTGGTTTCCCGCAGGGGGCTGCGTGGGTTTCTGGGGCCTGCGGACCCCCGCCACCTACTCACGCACTGGGAAGGCGGCTCGGAACAAGTCACGACCCCCACACTGGGCGCGGGCAGGGCTCGCCGGCCGGGTAGTCTAGAGGCATAGGGCGCGCGGCTGACAACTCTGCGCAAGGAAGGGCCTTCGTGAAAAGTGTAAACACCTCGTTCAGGGCGAAGCAAAACGTGCTGTTTCTCAACCCTCCCCGTCCCCGTCGTCACCCAATGTCACCACGACCAGGGCACCGGCAAAGGTGGCTGCTCCGCGGCCGCATTGCCCTTACACACACCCCCACGCGCGCCTCCCCAAACATTCCAAGCGCCCCGTGGGACGACGAAGATGAACTCGACTCCCTGGGCCGTTTCCCCAACCCCCCCTTCCCCACAAAGTGAGCTATTTTCGTTCAAAAAAACGTTCCTCCATCGATCGAGGGGAGATGGAACCACAAAGTGATTCACTCCCCACCCAAGGAGCTGAGCGCCCCCGACCCCCAGGAAAAATGTTCATTGATCCGCGATCACCGCTGGCCCCCGAGCCATCAGAAAGACACCGACTAGGAAACTTTCAGCGCGGCGCGGCCGGGGTGAGGCTGAGCAGGACCGGGGAGAGATGGAGCCCCGGAGTGGGGCGCCCAGGGCGCGACCCCCCGCGACCCCCAGCGCCCCACTGCGCGCCCCCCGGTCCGCCCCCGCCCCCGCTCTCCCCTTCCCTCGCCGCTTACTTTTGGATGATCTGGGGCAGGCCGGCTGCGGGCGGCTGCGGCTGCATCCCTCGTTGGCCCGGGGGCGCCGGGGGCGCGGGGGCACCGGGCACGCTGCGGGCATCTCGGTCCGCCTGCTCCGGGCCGCTGGGCTCGGCGTCCTGGCTCATGGCTGCGGCCAGCACCATGTGCGGCGAGAGCGGCCCCGGGACGCGGGCGCTCACTGCCCGGGGTCCCCGCGCCCGGTCCCCTTGTCCTTCCCGGTGGCGCAGGGAGGAGACGCGAGGGGCGGGGAGGAGACAGTCCCGGCGGCGCCGCCTCCTCCTCCCCAGCCGGCCCGGCCACGCGGGGGTGGGGGCCAGGGGGCGTCTCCCGGCCGGCCAGAGCCGCGGGGCGCTGCGGGGCGCCCCGGGTGCTGCCGATCCCGAGCGTGGCGAGCGGGGACGGCACCCCGCGAGCGCCCCGCCTCCGTGCGCCCTCGGGGTCCCCGGGCGGCCGCTCCGCAGAGGCCGGGAGGCGCGCGCCGACTCTCGCGTCCCGGGGCGCCCGGGGATCCCGCTGCCCCCCAGGGCCGGTGGGCGGAGAACCCCCAGATCTTCGGGGGTCCCCTAAGGAACCGCTGGTGGGCCCGCTACTGGTCAGGTCCCCCTCTTGTCTCCGCGCCCCGCCACCAACCCGCAAGCGCAGAGAGAACACCAAGTATCCGTTTTATTCTTGTGATTTATTGACCCAACCCCGGTGAAGATGAAAAAGGGGAACGGAGGTGGGGTGGGGTGGGGGTTCGCCGACCCCGCGCCGCCGCGCCCCGCGCCTCCGAAGTTGCCCGCACACCCGGGTGCGCCGCTGTGCACGCGGGTGCAGCGCGCGGAGACACCCCGCACCGCGCGGCGTCACGTCCCGGCTGCCAGGTAGGAGGGCTGCGGAGGCGCCCGGTGCCGCAGAAACGTCAGGCTCGGCGGAGTGCGGGGAGCACGGCTCCCCAGGAGTTCCTGTCGTCCGCCCGGCTCCCGGGGTTGTTGAACCCCGCACCCGCAGCCCGGCGAGCGAGGGGAGCGTCCCCGCGTGCCTGGGAAGTGAGAACGCACCTCCCGGCGCCCCCTCGGCCTGCAAGGAAGTTTGCTGAGCGTCTCAAGGCCACCCATCCTCTAGCCATGCTAGGAACATTCTGGAGAGTCTGTGCTCCCCGGTACCGGGAATTAATTGAATTCCCTGAAGGATGCTCTCTTGTCTCCCCAGACTGTGCGTTCCTGCCGCCTTCCCCACTAGTCTCTGGAAAAAAGGTCTCTCTTGATTTTGTACTCCCTGCCTACAATGCCCTCTCCACGCCGCCTTTCTCTCTCTCCACTCCTGTCTTTACTCTTTCAGAGGATACATGGATTTTTTGTGTTTGTAAAGATCGTCAAAATTCACAAAACTGAGTCACACACAGAGGTAAGAATGTATTGATTGTTCCCTGCATTTCACAAGTGAGGTCTCCCCAACCATATCTGGGAGAGGCAGACCTCAAAAAGATCAAATCTCTGAATGGTTTGTTCATCATCATTAGTTTCTATCATTAAGGTTCTGTTGACAATGGTTTATCATATAACTCCGTGTTCTACCCCTTTTTAGTTCAGAGAAATGACCTGAAATTATCATTGCAACTTTCCCAGAAACAAAAATGAAAAGGTTCCGTATACTTCTATTAAAATCTCCTTGTGAGATTTGTCCAGAGACAGTGGAAAGGGCTGGGTAGCCAAAGATCATACCTGTTTATTGCATTGGAATGAACCAACATCCCTGAGTGTCAGCTATCAGATATGTAAACAGGGGTTGGGGAGCCCCTGACTTCCACTGTCCCTGTCAGGGTTAGAAATAAGGCAGTATCTTGCATATTTGGTATGAGAGGAAGTCAACCTGGCAGCTATGACAAGACAAACAACGATTCCTTATATTCTAACTTTAGTGTCAAACAGAACAACATTCTGAAACTCCAGGAAACGAAGTGCTTTGAAAGTCAATATATATAAGTAAATCCATCTCCATAACATTTTTACTAACTAAAGAGATCATATTGTATGAAGCTAACTCATTCTCAGAAATAAAGTAGTGGCAGATGTGACATACTAAGAACAGTGGGTATACCAAGACATTCACGGGACTTTTTCCTGTCACTCTGAAATTTTCAAAATAAAAAAAAAAAGTAGAAAAAGTAATCACAGGCATTTACAAGATTTTTCAGCAAGTCCATTTCTATTTTTATAGCTTAATATAAAAATATTTTATATTAAATATATAAAATATTTTTATATTTGGAGCATTATGTAATAGCTGAAGTCTGAATTGCAGCTGATGTGATGGGAGAAATATATAAAATATTTTATATATTAAATATATAAAATATTTTTATATTTGGAGCATTATGTAATAGCTGAAGTCTGAATTGCAGCTGATGTGATGGGAGAAGGTAATGTTGCAGCAAACCTAAAGCTAGTGCATGTCCTTGCACAGAGGCCCACAAAACGCTATGCAGGATCCTCACAAACAACCCCTCCCATTGTGCAACTGAAACATGAAACATACTTAACAATTCCAAGGGAAATGATTTTTTAGCTTCAGTTTTCTCACTTCCGCCCAGGAGGAATGAAAAAGGTCCCTTGCTGGGTCTTCAGCCATTGGAGAAGGTGTAATCTTGATTTTTGTCATTCTCACTTCCTGCCATACCCACCCCCCACCCGTGTACACACACACACACACACACACACACACACACACCAGGATAAACATCACAGTTATGAGAGTGAGAGAAAGGCTGTGGGAGTCACCTGACTTGACAAATGGGGAGCATGACTCGATGAAGTCTGGTAACACATCTCTTTGTTCCACTCTGCAGAAGCATCCTGTCCCTCCTGACCTACAAGTAACCCGGCGGCTGCAGTGAGGCTGTCTGCGGCTGTCAATGAGTATATTGTACATCTCAGCTGCTAAATGCCCTCATCTATTATGACTGCCTTCATGTGCACAGTAACCAGTGACGAAGCTGCTGCTGTCCATGCTTCAGTCTGGAGGAAATGGAGACTCTGGTAGCTCTGAATTTTTAGCTCCCCCGAACACCGAAAAAATGTTTTGTTTCTTTTTGTTTTGAGGCCACACCTGGTAGTGCTCAGGGTTTACTCCTGGCTCTGAGCTCAGGGATCATACTGGTAAAGCTCAGGGGACCATATGTGGTGCCAGGATTCGAACCCACTGTACTATCTCTCCAGCCCCAGACAACTGAATTTTAAGGGACAGAAGCAGGACCCCACCATCAAACTGATGTAACACTGGCTCACTGACTACTCTGCCTTCAATACCGCCAGGGAGCCAAGCGGCTACCTGCCTCTTCTGGAAAGTAGAAAGTGCTGACTGTGTTGTCCCCCCCATCCCACTGCTATGCTCGCCCTGGGATGTCACTTGCATCCATCCTGGATAGTAATGAGAGAGGGATCCAAATGACCTTTCACAATCAAGAAAATGCAGAAAAACCAAGCAGGCTGGTGCTGGGAATCGGTGAATAACAGTGTCCAGGCCTCTGCCTGGTATTAACTAGGGTCATTCTTGAACACGCCAGGGACTCAGGGGCCCCAGCTTGTTTGTATTATTAATTGCTTGCTGAGTTCCAGACACCTGTCCCAGGAGCATTCTCACGTCTTATTTCATTTTATATCCTCCTTTCATAGGCAGAGAAGCTTGAGGAACCTGTCCAAGGCCACAGGGACAGTAAACTAGACTCACTGGGCCCACCAGATCCCTACTCTCTCTTAAGAGGGAACCAGCCCACCTCAGAGCATTTATCTCTGCCAAGATCATCTCATATGCACTGCTATCCAACATATGTATATTATTGTTGTTACTTTTAAATAACAATTTATTTGGTAGACTGTAAATTTGGGGGGAGGGTTGGGAGGGCTGGTTGGGGATTATAACAGCACCTGGTAGTGGTCAGGGCTCAGGGATCACTCCTGGTGGTCTCAGGGGACCATATAGGATGCCAGAGATTGAACTGGGTTGGCTGCTTGCACAGCAAGCTCCCTGACCACTGTACTATCTCTCCCACCCTAAAGTCATTTTTATAGTTGTAGAGCACTACATCAGTCCCTCCATTCAGTAACTTAGTAATTCTTAACATTTAGTTAGTAATTCTTAACAATATTTAGCATACTAATAAGATCTGTTTGTTGTTGTTATTTGGGGGACCATATCCGGTGGCACCCAGGGCTTACTCCTGGCTTTGTGCATAGGGATCACTCCTAGTGGAACTCAGGGACCATCCATTTGTAGTTTCAGGGATCGAACTGAGATGGGTCAAGTGCAAGGCAAACACCTTACCTCCTGCACTGTCTTTCTGGCAACCTCAGATCTGGTTGTTGTTGTTGTTGTTGTTGTTGTTGTTGCTGCTGCTGTTGTTGTTGCTGTTGGTCTTGGTTTGGAGACCATACGCAGCAATGTTCAGACAGTCATTGCTTTGCCACATGTGAGGCAAACAAATGCCCCCTACCCACTATCCTATCATTCCAGCCCCAGAATCTGTCTTTAAAGCAGAAATTTATCTGGAAGATTAGAGGAGAAACATACTGAAAATGTATAGGAAGGAAAGAAGAAAGGAGGAAGGGTGGGAAAAGAACAAAGAAAAATGTGTGGACTACATTTTCAACAACCTAACAACTCCAATAATGACAGTGAAGTCATTAAATTGCCAGCAATTGTGTGAATACTGTTCTAACCTACACGTTTGACAATTAGGGATAAATATTTAGCAGCCTCTCCAACATTAACCAAAACATTTTCATTGGTCTCTGTGTTAGTACTAACAGTCACTGTTTTTTGTGTTACTTTGTGTCAGGCTGCTGTGAGCACATAGTTCTCATTTAATCCTCTTTTTTTAGGTGGTTGCTTTTATGACCATTTTACAAATAAGAAAATAAAGGCTCGAAGATGCTCAGCCACCTGACCAGCTTCTACCATAAAAGGTGCAGATCCCTTCTCTGTGCCCATTACTCCTAGGATCAAACTTTCAGCCACCAAGCACAGGGCTTGGTGTGACACGAGTTTGAGACTGGACCCACCGCTCTGCTGGGTCCTGGCTGGCTGCTGGCTTCCAGCCCTTTCAATAACTCCTCCTTCCGTTCCTTCTCTGCACAGGATTTGGCTTCTTTTCCATCCTCTCCCCTCACTCCCACCCTAGGTAAACGTTCCTGCTGTCCCATCCGCTTCCCGGAGTTGTCAACCTGTCTTTTACTTAACTTGTTGGAATCCCCTTCAGTGCTTTTAAACAATCATGAAATTAAACCCTGTGCTGGCTTCATAAAGGATCGTCCCTGTAAAAACCCGGGAGAGACAGTGGCTGAAGGATGCTGTTTAAAAATAATGTGGTTACTCATGGAACTGGATGCACATTTGAATTTGAAGGAGACAGTCCGGGAACTTTAGCTGAGGAAAAGTGAGGACATGACCTATGAGGTTCTTTTCTGCCTAACAACTCGCTCAGGACGTCTCTCATTGGCTGTCGAGAAAGGCTTCGCCTCCTTCTCTTTGCTCTGGAATTTACCAGCCAGGCAGCCTGTCCTCTCAGCAGCTGCCCAGGTATTGTGTGAGAATCAAAGCAGCTCCCTGGCTGCGAGTCAGAAACTCCAGTGTCAGTGTTTCCTGACCGAGGAAAGCAGGTTGTCCCAAGCAGGAGTGAGACAAGGGCATCTTTGACTTCCGGAAGAAGCATCACTTCCCCAAGCCCAGGTGGCTTGCCAATCCTTCACTGCAAGTCCAAAACCTGGCACGGACCGACAGCTATAGCCGGCTCTCTGCCAACTCAGCGTGGGGCAGGGGCTGCCTGGGCCTGGCTTCGTGGAAAGGCCGAGTTTGGAGCAGAGGACAGCTCTCCGGCCTCGATCATTCCCAAGAGAAAGCAAAGCAGCAGGACACGGGAGGGAGGGAGGGTCATGGGACATGTTGCAGCTGAATTTTCTTGGGACAGGGGAAGGGAATGAGGAGTGATCAAGGTATGGCATGAATGTGGGAGAAATGTTAGCTGGTGGCTAATTGCATGATTTAAGTTCCATGGGGCTCGGCACCCCCCGGGGAGACCCGGCTTCTCCAAGGCCTGCCTAATCCCTGGGGAATGTCACTGGGCCTAGGGGGGCCCCAGCCAAGCCAAACTGCACTTCTCCCAGGCAGGGAATTCCGGGATCCGGCCCCTCCCCCACTGGCCTCCTCTGTCTTCTCTTATCACCCCGACTGTCTGTCTGTCAGGCCAGTTGGTCGTCAGGGAATAAATATCTAAGGCTGTTTGCCCACCAGCCAGGGATCAGGTGACCAGTATGGAAAGCAACGCCGGAGGCGCCTGCGTGCCAGCGTGACGCCAGGGACAGTGAGAGCCGCCATGTGCTGACCTCATTGAGTGGGCACCCAGGCAGCTGGCCCGGCACTGGGAACTGGTGCCACTCCCTGGGTGGCACCTCTGGCCATCCCAGGGCCATCTCATGCAGGGGACCCCCCCTGCCACACGCCCTCTCTCCAAAGGGTCTGGAGACAGAGTGGCTGGAGGGGAAACCCAGTCCCACCAAGGGCCAGCTGAGGCACTGATGGCACTGCAGTTGGCCCTCTGAACCTCCACATTCCTGTCTGGAAAATGGGAACAATGCTGCCCATGGCATAAGGTTATGTTGTGAATAAAGCAGTCATTAAGCAAATGACTCTCTGTCTCTCTGTCTCTCTCTGTCTCTCTCTGTCTCTCTCCGTCTCTGTCTCTGTCTCTCTGTCTCTCTGTCTCTCTGTCTCTGTCTCTCTCTCTCTCTCTCCTTCTCTCTCTCTCCCATTCTGTCTTTGTCTCTGTTTCTCTGTCTCTCTGTCTCTCTTTCTCTCCTTCCCGCTCATTTTTTAGGGTTATTCTTTTTGGGTGGTGTAGTGGCAGTGGTCATACCCAGGGCTTACTCCTGGCTCTATGCACAGGGATCACTGCTGGTGAGGCTTGACCAAACCTGGGTCAGCTGCATGCAAGGCAAAATCTTAGGGCTGGAGTGATAGCACAGTGGGTAGGGTGTTTGCCTTGCACGCAGCCAACCCAGGTTCGATTCCCAGCACCCATTTGGTCCCCTGAGCACTGCCAGGAGTGATTTCTGAGTACAGAGCCAGGAGTAACCCCTGTGCATCACCTGTGTGACCCAAAAAGAAAAAAAAAGAGGCAAAAGCTCTACCTGCTATACTGTCATTACTCTGGCCTCAAAGGCACAAACTTTTTGCTAGAGGATGTGAAGACTTAACGCAGGGCCTGATAGCTATAGTCGGTAATATTCTTTCTTTCTTTCTTTCTTTCTTTCTTTCTTTCTTTCTTTCTTTCTTTCTCCTCCTCCTCCCCCTCTTCCTCCTCCTCCTCCTCCTCCTTCTCCTCCTCCTCCTCCTTCTCTCTGTCTGTCTTCTGTCTCTCTCTCCTCCCCCCGCACACACACTCTGTGGTCTAGGGACCTAGGGACATAGATGGGCGATAAAGCACGGACTCGCATACTTAAGGCTCTGGTTTCAGTTCTCACCAGCGCAGCCACTTCTGCAAACTCCCAGGGCAGGTCTGCTGGGCCTGGGAGAGAAAGACTGGTAGGTTGTTTTGGTGCCGGGTCTAGATATGAGGTTTGTGAGTGGCGAGCACGAAGTCCCCATTGAGCTCCATCTCTGGCCTGGAAAAGGGGGTTTGAACACAGACTCACTTTACTCCCTGCCCTCCTAGCCTAGAACCCCTCCACTGAAGAGCAAATTGGCAGTTGAAAAATGAATTGGGTGGGAGGATGGGGGTGGGAGGGATATTATCCATGGTGGTGAAAAACGGGCACTGGTGGAGGGATGGGTATCTGATCATTGTATAATTGAAACCCAAGCACAAAAAATTGTAAATCTATAACTGTAAAAATAAATAAATAAATAAATAAATGAGCTAAAAAATAAATAAATAAAAATAAAAAAATAAAAAATAAAAGAAAAATGAATTGGGGGGTGGGGGCAGAAAAATAGTACCTAGTACTGGGCTTAAGCACTAGCCTTGCCTGTGAC